TCAGCCTAAAACTCGAAACAAAATTCAGTCTGCCTAATGGAGATCAGCCACCTCCTATTTTAAGATAAAAGACTAACAACAAAAGATAAAATAACTCATAGTCCTACTTATTCAAATAAATCAAAAGTGCCCAGCTATAATAACTAATCCCTTGGCTAACTAACTTCATCATCTGGTGAAGTCGATCTGATCTTTCTATTATATACTTTTAGTGGTTGAGGACCCCCAGTGTTTCCGACTGCATCATTTTATGAGAATAATAATTAGAAAAGGAAAGAGTTCATGAAGCTTGAGCAATGAATATTTCATCCAAGGCATTGAATTCACTTGTCTTGTACTCAATAAACGTGCATCTGCACTTGCAGGCAAAAGAAGGCAAAAAACACTCTTTTTTGGATGGCAAAATGTTCGAACTCTTGGTGACAGAGCTTCTAATTGAGATAAAATTGAGAAATGCTTGTACTAAGGCTTACTGTATCAATTGATAACAGTAGCAGAGGTAGCAAATCACAAAGTAAAAACTGGAAACGAAAGGAAGCCAGTACTGGACATTCGAGAGGCCACTCTCTCCTACTCTCTTCTTAGGACTCGATTCTTTCTTAATCTTGATTTTCTATTCTTTCACTTTACCTTTTTATCCTACCCCTTCCTTCTCATTCGTATTAACAATATTTCCCTCCAAAATACATCAGTATACTTGCTACTCTAAGAAAACCCTTCCCGTGACTACATTTTCCCAACCATCCAAGATAGAAAGAGCTTTCAAGCAAAGCTGAAAATGATTGTAAAGATAATTACTCTTGCTACTCTAAGAACACAAGGAAATCAAGTGAGTTTTCATCAAGGCTTTTACCATAGAAGTTCTGCAAACAATGTTATCAGTGGGGCTTCCCATATTACACAAATTTCTGCATATCTAACCAAACTGAGTAGAAATTCTTGGTATCAACACACAGATTCAATCTCATCCATCATTATCAAATATAACCGCGGATTGTAAGGCAACAGATACAGCATGGCAGAAACCATCACTGCAAATACAGTAATCAAACATGGGAGCAAGTGGATCAGATACTGAGGCCTACAAATAGGCAAGCAGTTCATATGGTTAATATTGAAGGTCCACTGCTCACTCTCCCATCAAAAAATCTCACATGCACCTTGTCACGCCCTTTGTTTCTGGTTCTACTGCCCCTGCTTCCAGTCTCCGAGCAATAGCTTTTATAATCAGTCCTCACAATTGAGTAATTTTCTTCTATCCTTTTTCCATCAGCTGCACTGTACACACATGTTAAGTTAATGTATACTTGTTTCTTCAAGTTAATTTTTTTTCTGCTTGAAATACAATTACATACCTAGTGTCACAAATGGTGTCCAATGAAAGGGATTTAGTGATCCTATGCATTCTTTTCCCTGTATTTTGAATTGTGAATTTCACCTTGTTTATTTTGTTATCTGTCTAAAAGAAGACATGCTATATTACAACAATGGGTTCAGATTATTAGCCTTTTGAAGCATAAAAGAATATGATAGATTAAAAAGCTTTCTCTGCAATGCAATGTGTTTCTTCCAAGAGTGTTCAATCATGGAATAGTTATATTCTGTCTTCTCATTTGCTTGGCACCCTATGCTTCTGCTGACAAACTTAGAGCAGCAGCCTAAAGGCCTAACACAGGTAACAACTTGAGAAAAGACCAGTAAATAAATGAAGACGCTAAAACTAGATTAATTCTACCAACGTAATAAAAATTTAGCGCTGCTTCTGTAGGAAGGAAATTTAATAGAATCGCAACTTACTAAAAAAAGATGCATCTAGACACACATCAGAGCTTTTATATAGACTACAGTTATCACTGTTGGCACCACAAGAAACATGAAGGATTGGTCACCAAGTTAATGAACAATTGTTTTATGTTATTTCAAACCCCAATTTGGTTGAACGTTGAACAAGTAAAACACAATAGGAGGAGTTAAGGGGGGAAGAAAGAAAAGAAAAGGGTGTTGACTTTTTTCAAATTTGAAGGAGAACTATGAAATACACAAATCGAAATTGCTAGATTTCAATTTCAAGATCCCAAGTTCATCAGTCAATTGGTATCCATTTGTCACATTGAAAAATAGGAGACAGTAAGCTACAAGATAATTAGCCATGACTATGACTACTTAGGAGCCAGTGACAGCTTTTAGGATAACAATTATCACTATATTATGATAGTTTAAGCAAAACTATCACCATAAGCAAAAGGAAGCAGTTAATATTCAAACTATTTAAATTCTTTACCTTTAAATCTGCCAAATGCTTTCCCTAGAATCTCATTGTCATCTATTACTCCCAACTTTGATAATTTTTCCCTTACAGCAATTATAATCATAACTCCGCTCTTCACCCATAGGTATTTCCTTTACAGTATACACATCAAACACCATTCTGTTGGTATCTGATACAGACCAGTTCACAATCACACTAAAACCAATAGAGCAATAACACCAAATGCAATTATATTGATTATAAATTGACCAGAAACAGGATTACAGTAATACAAGCTTCAGTTTCAACAACAATAACAAGCTTATAAGGGAAATTACAGAGTCATATAGCTCAACTCTCTCATTACAAATCAAACAACAGAAATGCTGAAATTGAAATTACAAGCAGAAAGGAAATGATAGTTGTGAAGCAGTTGGAGAGGCTCCATTCTCTCCCAAGGTCCAAATTCTCAATTTAGGTTCTAGATAATTCTCTCTCACATCAGCAGCCTTCATTTATCCTCCCCACGCACGTTCTATTGCGTTCCCTCATTCGGTTGCAACAGAATTGCTGAGTCAGCATCAGCAACAGGGCCTTTGTTGATTGGGCCTTGATCAGCAGCCTCAGTTGTACCTTGATCAGCAACCTCAGTTGTAATCCATACCCTTCTATTCTTGTCTCTTTTGTATACCCGATCTTGATCAGCAGCCTCAGTTGTACCTTGATCAGCAGTCTCAGTTGTAATCCATACCCTTCTATTCTTGTCTCTCTTGTATACCCGATTGAGCTTGGGTTGGTTGGGCTAGGTTGCATCAATACTCCCCCCCCCCCCAATTCAAGCACCTTGTCCTCGAGGTGGAAGTGAGGGAATTGTTTGTTGATGACATCAAATGGCTCCCATGAATTTTCGAACTCAGGTAATTGCTGCCATTTGAGAAGTACTTGCAACTCTCCAGTTTTGGACAGCCGCCATTGGATTAATTTTTTTGGTTCCACAATTAACTCCCAATCTTCAGAGAGGGCTGCTGGTAAAGGTTGAGCATTCGGCACTGGAGCCACAACCTTCTTGAGCAAGGAAACATGGAAAGCTGGATGGACCAGACAGTTTCTTAGCAGTTGGAGCTTATAAGCCGCTTCCCCAATCTTCTCCAAAACAACATAAGGGCCATAATACCTGGGGCTTAATTTTTCATTAACTCTCTGTGCGATAGTTTTGAGCCTATAAGGCTGAAGCCGCAGATAAACAAGGTCACCTGGGATAAATTGGACATTTCTTCTATGTTGATTAGCATGCACAGTCATACGGTTTTGGGCTTGCACCAAATTCTGTTGCAAATCAAATAGTATTTTGTCTCTGGCAATCAGGGAATTAGAGAGTGCATCAACTGCAGATCCGTAATTCCCACTTTTCAACAAATGGGGAGGGTCTCTGCCATAGAGGGCCTTGAATGGAGTCATGCCTGTAGCCTCCTTGTATGTGGTGTTGTACCAGAACTCAGCCCAAGGGAGCCACTTGGGCCATTGCTTGGGCTTAGGCCCACAGAAACACCTTAAATAAACCTCCAAACACCTGTTGACTACCTCTGTTTGGCCGTTAGTTTGCGGATGGTAGGCAGTGCTATGGTGCAATTTGGTGCCTGCACTTTTGAACAAATCCGTCCAAAAAGAGCTCATAAGACTCTATCTTTATCAGAGACAATAGTGGCTGGAAACCCATGAAGCCGCACCACCTCCCTCACAAATAAATCAGCAACGTCCTTTGCTGTATAGGGGTGTTTAAGAGGTAGAAAGTGGGCATATTTAGTGAGACGATCTACAACAACTAAGATCGTATCAAGCCCCGTAGCCTTTGGCAACCCCCCAATGAAATCCATAGAGATATCACCACACCTTCTCACGGATGGGCAACGGTTGCAGCAGCCCTGCTGGGGTCAGATTCTGGGCCTTGCTTTGTTGGCAAATTATACAAGCTGTCACATAATCCCTAACTGTTCGTTTCATACCCTCCCAATATACCAAGCCAGCCAGCCTTTTGTATGTTCTAAAGTAACCAGAATGTCCTCCAAAGTTGGAGTCATGGAATTCATGGAGAAGGATAGAAATAAACTTGGAATTTTTAGGTAATACTAACCTTTCATTGTAATACAACTTGCCCTCTCTCAACTTGAAACCTGGATGAGCTTCCTGATCGATTAACAAAGCTTGTATAATGCTCTTGAGCGTACTGTCATCATGTAGCTCCATCTCCAAGTCCTCCAGTGCTGGTAGTTGTAATCTGGTGATACTGGCTAGCTGCATTTGCCTAGAGAGTGCATCAGCAACCAAATTCTCCTTGCCAGGGTAATATTGTATCTCGAAGTCAAATCCAAGTAACTTCACAGCCCATTTTTGTTGCTCCTCATTTAGCACTGCTTGATCTGTCAAAAACTTCAAACTCTTTCGATCAGATTAGATGACAAAATGCCTCCCCATCAAATAGTGCTTCCATTTTTGCACAGCAAAGACTATGGCCATGAGCTCTTTCTCATAGACTGATTTGCCTTGTGCTCTTGAAGAGAAACCTTGACTCAAAAACGCAATAGGCCTGTTACCCTGCACCAAAACAGCCCCTATCCCTTTTCCCGAAGCATCTGTTACCACGGTAAACAACTCGGTAAAATCAGGCAAAGCCAAAACAGGGACCGTACTCATCTTTTCCTTTAACAACTCGAAGGTCCTCTCTGCCTCTTCAGTCCAATGGAAGGCATCCTTCTTAAGCAGCTCCGTCAGTGGTTTTGCAATCTTCCCGTAGTCTTGCACAAACCTCCGATAGTACCCGGTGAGTCCCAAAAACCCCCCGCAACCCCTTGATGTTCTTGGGCGCTGGCCACTGCCTCATAGCCTGGACCTTACTAGGGTCGGCACTGACTCCTTGGGCCGTTATAACATGCCCCAAGTACTCCATTTGATCCTTACCGAAGCTGCATTTCTTCCTATTACACACCAGAGAGTTAGACCGCAAAACTTCGAATATCAGACGCAAGTGTCCCAAGTGCTCCCACTTGCTTTTACTGTAAATCATGATATCGTCAAAAAACACAAGTGCAAACTTCCTCAGAAAGGGTCGAAGAACATCATTCATAAGAGCTTGAAATGACGAAGGGGCATTTGTTAAACCAAAGGGCATTACCAGGTACTCGTAATGCCCTTGATGCGTTCTAAAGGCTGTCTTGGGTATACCTTCTTCGCGCATCCTGATCTGATGGAACCCAGACTTCAGGTCGAGCTTAGAAAAAATCATTGAGCCTCCAAGCTCATCCAGCAACTCATCAACAACCGGAATTGGAAATTTATCCTGGATGATCAACTTGTTTAGGGCTCTGTAGTCGACACAGACCCTCCAACTCCCGTCCTTCTTCTTAACAAGGATCATCGGGCTGGAATAGGGGCTAGTGCTTGGTCTAATCAACCCATCCCCTAGTAACTCAGCTACCAAACTCTCTATTTCAGATTTCTGATAGTGGGGATACCTGTATGGACGTATGTTAGGTGCCACGCTCCCTGGCTTTAGGTTGATTGCATGGTCCCGTTGCCTCCTTGGTGGTAACCCAGTTAGCTTATGGAAGACATCCTCGAACTCAGCCAGCAGTCCTTCCAAATCTTCCCATGGAGTATCATCCCCTGTGCCTCTTTCCTCTTCTGACCTTAGAAAAAACCCCTGTCCGTGATCATGCAAGGCCTTTACCACAGATTTTAAAGAAGCCTCTGAACGGAACAATGAGGGATCCCCCTTGATAGTAATCTCACGATCCTGAATCATAAACTTCAGAGTGAGGTCCTTGAAATTAGCCTTGATCTCTCCGAGCTGAGTCAGCCACTCGAGCCCTAGCACGACGTCTGTACTCCCCAGATCAAAGATGTAAAGGTCTTGTACAATCATCGTTCCCTGAAGCGAAATGGTGACCTCCTTGCATACCCCTTGACAGCAGACCTTATGACCGTCACCCACTTCCACGTTGTACGTTTGGGTTTCAGTAACGACTAGTCCCAACCTCTCGGCCGTTCCTCTTCCTATGAAGTTGCTCGAAGCCCCACAATCGATCATCACAACGACCCTTGATCCTTGAATTTCTCCCCATGCCTTAAGTGTTTGGTTTGAAGCGAGCCCTAGCAAACATTGCATTGAGAGATGCATGACAGTCGCATCGTCCTCCTTAGGCAGGCCTTCCCCTTCGTGACCAATGACCTCAGCCTCAACCTCCCGTCCTTCATCGTCGTTCTCGTCTTCGACGATCATTACTTGGAGTTGCTTGAACGGGCATCTATGAGTCGGATTCCACCGTTCGTTGCAAGTAAAACATAGTCCCTTGGCCTGACGATCCCTGACTTCCGCCGGTGAGAGACGCCGATTGGTGCTCGCCTGACTCTCCGTCGCGAGTCCAGCACCGCTGTGTGCGTTGACGGTGCCAGATGACCCCTTCGTGGCCGCCATTCGCGTTTGCTCTTCGTTTGGTGCCCTAGTTGACTGATTTAGGTTATTTGAGTTGGTTTGCCCCATGACCCAACCCGGAATGGAAGGATTAAAAGAGCCCGACCCGTTTCAGTTACTTCCCCTATTGGTATACTGGCCAGCCCAATTACGTTGGGTCTGATTTCCCTTGCCTGGCCCCGTTGGCCCAACCCGTCCTCCTGTCCCCACCCCTTCGTCCCTCAACGCGTCATTCCTCTTCTCTATTTTCAGAGAATACTTCATCATCTCCGATAAGCTGATGTTGGGACTCATCATCAGTTCTTCGCGAACGCTACACCGTACGCCATTAAGCCACGCCCCTTTCAACAGCTCCTCATCCTCAAAATGCAATGCACCAATCACCTTCTCAAATTCACATTTGAACTCCGCCACTGTTCCCATCTGTTTGAGTGTATACAAAGCCCTATAAGGGTTGTCCAAAGCTTCCGGTTGGAACCTGCTCAAGACTTCTCGCCGAAAAATTTCCCAACTCGCGTTTGGGTTGTTTATTTCCCACCATAGATACCACTGTAAGGCTTCCCCCTCCAACGTCACCATTACCGCTGCTAACTTGTCTTCTTCGGCTAAACCGTTGACATTGAAATACCTCTCTACTTTATTTATCCATCCATACGCGTCCTCTCCGTGGAACAAGGGTATTTCTAAATGCCTTGTCGTCGAAATGATCGGATTAAATCTCTGTCCATGCATCCCAGATGTTTACCTATTAGAACCGTCGTTCTCATCGTGAGAACCACTCCCCCTTGGTCTCGCCATTTCGTCCAGTCTCCGAAGGATTTCTACCACACCTGTTTCGCTAGCCTCCATTCTCCTTAGTATCTCAACATTTTGAGCTTCAGTTCTGCGCAGCCTTTCCTCCATAGCTTCAACACGATTTTCCATACTTCTAGTGACGACCATCCCACAGAGCTCCTAGATCGGAGCTCTGATACCAATTTGATACAGACCAGTTCACAATCACACTAAAACCAATAGAGCAATAACACCAAATGCAATTATATTGATTATAAATTGACCAGAAACAGGATTACAGTAATACAAGCTTCAGTTTCAACAACATTAACAAGCTTATAAGGGAAATTACAGAGTCATATAGCTCAACTCTCATTACAAATCAAACAACAGAAATGCTGAAATTGAAATTACAAGCAAAAAGGAAATGATAGTTATGAAGCAGTTGGAGAGGCTCCACTCTCTCCCAAGGTCCGAATTCTCAATTCAGGTTCTAGATAATTCTCTCTCACATCAGCAGCCTTCATTTATCCTCCCTACGCACGTTCTATTGCGTTCCCTCATTCGGTTGCAACAGAATTGCTGAGTCAGCATCAGCAACAGGGCCTTTGTTGATTGGGCCTTGATCAGCAGCCTCAGTTGTACCTTGATCAGCAGCCTCAGTTGTAATCCATACCCTTCTATTCTTGTCTCTCTTGTATACCCGATCTTGCTCAGCAGCCTCAGTTGTACCTTGATCAGCAGCCTCAGTTGTAATCCATACCCTTCTATTCTTGTCTCTCTTGTATACCCGATTGGGCTTGGGTTGGTTGGGCTGGGTTGCACCAGTATCTCTTATTGTTATCGTACATAACATCTTCGGCATGAAGAATAGGATAACTATGACGATTTGTAGGATACCATATATTTAATACTGTATATTTGATCATCTCTTCTTTGACGGATAGAAGGATACTATCCCAAATAGGCATGTTTCCTTAGATAGTAATTTTCTACCAATAACTACCAATAAGAAGTAAATGAGTAATGATATTATGATTTTCCCTTCCCTGTATGCGAAGTGAAACCAATGGGAAACAAATACACTTGAATATAATTCCAGTTTTGTCTCTACCTATGAAGAATATCTTCCAAACATACTTATGCAGAGTGTAATTAAGTTGGCATGATTTATTAGTATAATACTCCAGTATAGGTAGAAATCAATCTTGAATCTTGACAGTCTTTAAAGTTAGGTGCCTGAAGTTAAATTAAGATTCTCTACAAATCCTCTAAGCATTTGAGTAATTTCATGGTAATACAAATAATGGGTATGAGGTTACATTTTCATGACACATAAAAAAGAAACAGATTAACTATTTTTCTTGGCAGTAAAATTGTCTTCAATATCCAAATAACATGTCTAGTTCCGGGTTATATTGAAGTTAAGATCATGAAAAGAAATAAGGTTTAATAAAATAAAAATAATGAAGAGATATCTTCACCAACAAACGGGATGCAGACAATAAATATATCAAGTTGGCTGTTCAATAAAACTTTTTTTTCACCTTTTCCGTCGACCTTCTTAACTCTCAACCTCAATGTTGAGGATATTGAGTTGTTGACTTTATGCACACAATTTATTGGACAACAACAAAAATAATAGAAAAAATAAAGCTCTTCAATTTTTGAAGAAAAAGAAAATATAGCAATTGTATGATTGTTCTGAACAAAAAATTAAACCACACAAAAACTTTGAAACTAAAGTTAATAACATAAAGACAGGATATCACAAGATGGGTTAACTCTATCACCACTGTCGTTAAAGAATTTGAATCAGTAATAATCTCTGGAGCCATATAACGGCATTGCTCACTGGCCTCTAAGTACATCTCCATGTGCATTAGACCATTGTATTGAGTTAATCATATCTTAAGGAGAAATAAATGACACAAGATTGTTTACCTCCATCACCAGTATTATCTAAAACCAAGCTTGTCATTGTAGAATCCCGAAACATAAAACTCTTCAGAAAATGCCTGACAAAACAAATTACCGTCTTTATTATCCAACTTCACTAATACACATTTTCCTCTTTCTTGAAATGATGTTGCTATCTATTAAGATTATTACTGAGTTAATATGGTTTTCAAATGATGCAATTAAGATAATATACTAACAATCTACATAATGAAAACTTATAATAGTATTTTCTTACTAATTCACAATCTAACACAAGCAAAATTGAATTCTTGTATATTTTCTTCTAGAAATAAAATTGATCATGCACCTTGATTGAGCACTCTAGTTTTGTACATCTCTTGTTTTGTTTCCATTTATGTGGAAGATGAATAAATACGGCAACAAAAATTAGTTGCATACATATAGCAGACCACAAGAAAATTTACCATTGAAGGTGAATCCTAATTCACATTATCATCCAGTTGACTGCATTGCTTGAGCAGGAAGAAAGGAAAACAACTGCAAGCCCAGTTCCACATGCGTGATAATAAACCCGTATGTTGTCGCTGTTGCACTAATCGTGTTCAGAAATTTCAATGTCCATTGCTTCCTTCTCCAGTTTTCTTCGTTTCTTTCTCTTTTGTTCTTCTGAATCCTCCTCCTTGACATCTTCTGAATCTGACAGGATATTGGCTTCATCAACATCAACAAGTGATTGTTCATGGTCAGAATCGGATTCACGTTCCCGTTGCTGATGTAGGAAGCTGGGCTCACCAATGTCAAATTCCCCACCACGTTCACTGTTAGAATCACTGTTCCAATGACTACTCGGATCAGGATTAGTGAATTGAATATCATCCATGCTATTTTTCTCTTTGAATACATGGATTCCTATTTGGCCTTTATCATTTTTTCGGATGGGTCCACATCTAACCTTCACATGGTTCCATTCATTTTTTAAAGGCACTTCATCCAGCTTAATATCTTTGGGTTGCATACCAAAAAGATATGTATGATACTGTCTCAGCTCGAAAGGCCAACCAGTTTTCAAACCTTTTTTGCCATTGATGATCACGGTGGGTGCATCCCGCCAGCTATCCACAACAATACAGAGAGCTATAGCAGGGAACTTGTTACGAAACCAGAATGAAATTGGCCGTCCCCAGCTGCTGCAGTGCTCTAACCACTCTGGAATCCCTTCAGTTCCACTCAAACAAAACCTTGACTTTCCAGCCTCATGCAGTTTCTGTTATTCATAAATAAATTTATAAGTTTAGCAGCATTTACTACAGTATAATCAATCATCAAATCAAATACATAAATAAAAAATAAACCTGATCAAGTAACTTGCTTATAGACTCGGATGTCAAGGAATAGCAGTTTCTTGCAGAAAAATATTTTAAGTTTGGCGGAATCCTTCTAATTTCTCGAAGATTCCGGCAATAGTCCAACGTAAGTGACCTTAAAAGGTGACATTCTTTGATGCATTCAGGAATAATTGTGAAACAATTAAATGATAGGTCTAAATTTTTCACATTAGCAAACCAGGTGAGACCAATTGCAAGAATTTCATCTGACACGTTGCACTTCACGAGTTTGAGAAGTTCTAAGTTTGAAGACACCATTGAGCCCACTTCTGGCAATGAACCCAAATTCCATCCCTCACCTCTAATCAAAACCAGTTCTCGCATTTTGACAATGCTACTTGGAAACTGAACAATTCCACAAGCTACCGCAACTAATTCTCGAAGCCCAGTAAGATTTTCAAACGAAGATGGCAATTCTTTTATAGGAGTTCGAAACAAGTCAAGATGTTTTATATTTTTCATCTCTCCTAATATTTCTGGAAAACTCTCAAGACTCGAGCATTCGTTAAGATAGAGTTCTTCAAGAGAAGTCAACTTGAAGGGAGGTAAAGCTCCAAGCTTTATGCAACCCTCACAAGCCAATATTCTAAGTTTATCCAGCTTCCCAACTGAATCATCAATTGTAGTTAAATTCTCACAACGCTTAAATGATAATTCTTTTAATTTTAGGAGACCAGATACATCAGGTATCTCTGTTAAAAATTCACAATCATCAAAATTCAAAACACTCGTATTCTCAAATTTCTGCGAAAATAACAAAAAAGGAAAAACAAAGAAATAAGAACCAAATTAATAATGTTAAAATGAACTTATTAAAACACAAGATTAGGGAAATGAACTCCTTACACTTGCTTTCACTAAACCGGCCAACTCGGGTGACGTAAAGCAACTATCCATTATCTTGCATATGGCAAGTTGCTTTGGATGAAAATCTGACGGTAAACACGGTGAAGGATATCTCCACCATTCCAGTATTCTTAAACTATTTGGAAGATGTTTCGGACCTCTGGAAAAACAACCTTGTTTAATAATAAGTGTCTTGAGATTTTTCATCTTCGCAAATGCCTTTCCACTCCATTTCACTATTACTTCCTCTTCATCATATACTGGAAAATCCAAATATATGATTTCAATTTTCATAGTTCCCTGTTATCAGAAAAAGCACGAATTATACACAATACATGTATATATGTAAGACTTAAACACGCATATTTAGAGAAATTTACATATTATAAAGGGTAAAAAATATTTGTGACACGAGCATGTAACAATTGGAAGAGATAAATAAGGCTGAACATGAAAAAAGAAACCATCTATATCAATTTTACTCACCATATCTTCTTCCAAAACATGAATTATATCTCCATGGAACCATAACCTACTGCGTTTCCCAGGATTTTTCGGTGATTCCCGTCGCACAATTTCTTTACCCATGTCCTCTATCAAGTCATGTAGAGTCACCTTACTATACCAGTCAATTATCTTTATGAGAGATTTCTCAACCAACACTCCAATATGATATTTCATGCACTCACCATAATGAGCATGCAATATATCTCGAACCTGTGCCAATGAATGTCCTTTGAAGCAACAAGCAATGTCAAGAAAAACACTCTTCTCTTCTTCCTCCAAAGCATCATAGCTTACTTTAAGTTTCTTTTGAATGTCTCTAGGTGGAATCCTTTGATACAGATTTAATGCAGATTCCCATTTATCTATACTTTTTCCAAACAAGTTGGAACCTATAACTTCCAAAGCCAACGGAAGGCCAGAAGCATAAGTTAATGCACGGTTTAAAACGTTGTTGTACTTTTGATCAACTTCGAGGGTTTTAAAAGCTTTCCATCTTAGCAGTTCAAGAGCATCTTTTTCATTCAACTCCTTCACCGCATATGTTTTCTTAACCTCGTGACATGCTAACAACTGTTTGTCCCGAGTTGTGATGATGACTCTGCTCCCGGGACCAAACCAATCAGGTCTTCCAAGAGCCTGTAACTGCTCCAGCTCATCAACATCATCTAAAATCAAAAGAACCTTATTTTCTCGTAGCCTACGTTGTATTTCTAGACTTCCTTTTGGGATACTTGCTAACTTAATTTTCTCCTCTCCAAACATTTCTCTAAGAAGGATCTCTTGGAGATGTTGTAACCCATGCGTGTTTGAATTTTCTCTTACATTCTGAAGAAAACATAAACCCTCAAAATATTCAGCAACAGAATTATAAACTGCTAGAGCAAGTGTTGTCTTTCCTACTCCACCAATTCCATGAATCCCTACCATGTGGACCTCATCCTTAGATTCGGCATCCATAAGCAACTTTACTTCTTCTACTTGAGACTCCAGTCCAACAGGGTAATCCGCAACAGGAAAAGGGACACGCTTAATATTCTTGGAGACCTCTTTGACAACGCTCTCAATAAACTTGTGTTCATATTCATCCCTGTTCAGTCAAAGAAGTTTGTGAGAAGTCAAAATAAATGCCTCATATCCGTGTCTTGTTGGTACTTATAATGCAAAGTATTTCACATACAATGATTTAAGATGTTCAAGCTAGGTTAACAAGTATATTTCTTTTGTCTTTAAATGTTAAGATTAAATCATGACAAAATGAAAATTAATAAAAATGTAAAGGATTGGAGAGGTGGAGTACCCGTGTTTGAAATGATAGCCAGATAAGTTAGCTACTCGCTCCAGAGCCGTCCTCCATTTCGCCAACCTCTCCCTATTATCCTCGAACCTCTCCTTATTAGCGTTGAACTTCTTTTCATGATTAACCAATGCTTCTCCGTAACTACCTCTCTGATGTCGCACATCAGAAGGATCCACCTTATAAAAAATTGGAAAAACCTTCCGACCCTCTATATTATTAACACGATCAATGATGTTGGAGAGTTCATTTAAGCAAAATGAAGAAGATGCATAGTTGGCAGACAGAACAATGATGGCAATCCTGGAGTCTTGGATGGCCTTGAGAAGTGATGGTGTGATTTCCTCCCCTCTCTGAAGATCCTCGTCATCAATGAATGTGCGAATTCCGGCGTCAGAAAGAGCTTTGTAGAGATTGCCAGTGAAACCGTAGCGAGTATCAGTGCCTCTGAAGCTGAGGAACACATCGTAGGCGAAGGAAGAGGAGGAGGATGATGGAACAGCCATGAGAAGGAAGAAAGGTTAGTGAGAATAAAAGAGTAATGGATGGAATGTTGGGTCTGCAAAATGAAATACGAGACTACGTAGCAACGCAGAGTTGACCCGATATATAAGGGTTTTAACTCCTTACTTTTCTCATTAAGGCATGGAAAAGCTCTGATATTCCATTCTACGGTATTTTATTAACAAATAATAATAAGAATAACTTACACGCAAACATATAATGATTTAAAAAAGGAATATAATTACCCGACAATGTGTCACGCCGGCTAGTTTTATTGAAAATTCTATGAAATTAAAGTTTATTTTATAATTGAGAAATGTTTATATCTAAATGCAAGTTGATGAATAAATTTAATAATTAACATGAATAGAAATAGAAGTTGTTTACATGATTTAAATACTAAATTAGGATACCAAAAAAATAAAAAATAAAATACTAATTTTATCCCTCATTGAGTCATTGTTATTTTAAAAAATGCGTGTCAGACACCGACATGTTCAGTTACGCTCCGACACGTGTCTGACATGCTATCAACATTTTGGGACATGTGATCAACTTTCTGACACGTTTCGGCACGTCTTTCCGACATTTAGTCAACTTTTTCCGTCACGCGGTCAATGCTCTAACACACCTCCGACACTTTTTTTTATTCTTAATTTTATTTTATTAACTAAACATAAAAAAAAATTATAAATCAACAAGGTATGAAAAATTATTTTTATTTTTATATATGTTATGCAATTTGAATATTTGATTGGTTACATGACTTATTATGGATTGTTATAGGTATTAAATAGAAATTATATTATATATATTAAAAATATTATTTAATATCAAAACGTGTACGTGTTGAAATATGCTATTTTTTTAGACTTAACTTGTCGGCGTGTCGTGTCGTGTCCCGTGTCGGTGTTAGTGCATGATAGATGAATATGGTTGGAGTTTTGGTTCTCCAAAATCAAGCAAGAATGGAAACTTATTAGAGAGTCCAAGGTCATACATACTCCGATCTCAGAGATTTCCGTGAAGATTCCTGCCTATTTCTAAGGTCAACTCCTTACTTTTATCGTTTATCATTTGTCATTGCGGTGTGAATATATGAGGCTGCCTCACAAAAATAATTAGAAATTCTGATATTACATTATAGGGTAAATCATTAACAAAGAATAAAAATAGCATACACTGATAGATATAATGATTTTAAAAAGCAAAACAATTAACGTTGCTTGCATTCTACCTTCTTTTGTTACTATTAAATAACTCTGCTTATCATAGAATTGTGTTAACAAATATTCAATTAACAATATGGACTAAAAAAACCACGGTCTAATTAATTAAGCAACAAGTTGTCATTTGGTTGTAAACATCACGTTAAATATGCAGAGAGCCAGAGACAATAAGCAAAATATTTATTACTCTCTACCAACCAAACAATAAAGTAGAAATCTCCAATTACATACATCCCATGATAATATGAATTGTATATGTAATCATTTGAAGGCAGGAATTTCACTCTTATTGTACATAAATCGGGATTTAATTGTGTGTACAATTGCTAACAATTTTAGTCTAGGATGTTACACCAAGCTAACTACTTATATTGATGTTACACAAATAATGATCATTTGTTCACATAATTAATCAGACCAGTCCAATATGAATTGGGTTAAATCATACACGATTGAAAGATTTGAAAGATGGAGATTTTGGGTGGTATGTTGTACTTCGTAGGCTTGAGATGTTCACTGTGTATGAGAAGGTTGGTGAATGCTTCTTGCGCAATGGAAATGACTAGGGATACCTACAAAGACACTATGACGCTCAAGTCAATATCAATGCTAGGTTTTTGTTATATTTAATGGGAATCAGATCATCATACCTGGGTTTGAACCCTTTGATTTATAGCAAGCTTTAGACCGCCTGGGATAGGCGGCATACCTTCTTATTGATAAATGTCAAAGACAATATGTTTTTAATGTCAAATATAGTTCAAATAATAATTAATATGATTAAAAATATAGTGTTAATTAATAAAATCTTAAAGAATATTAAAATGCCAACAACTATATAAGATTCTAATTTTTTTTATTGTTTCAGGTTGTTTCATACTACAAAGAAGAAACTACTAACCTGATGAGGAGAAAGCAGTTGGCACAGGCTAAAGATAAAGGAAAAATAGAAAAATAAAGATTTGGCCTTTCTCGCTCTACTGCTCGCTTCAGCGAGAAGTTTAATTAAGCTTGCTCTGCAGCTCGCTTCAGCGAGAAAAGGAAAAATGCTCACTGAGCAGCTCGCTTCAACGAGCTCCTCAGCGAGATGGCCCAAAATTAAAGGCCCAGTTTTAAGTCTTTAAATAGAAGCGACGAAGTCTTTGGAAAACACATTCAGAAGACAGAAGAAAGGAGAACTGACTAAGGCAGAAGGCAGAAGCGGAGGAGAAATTCTGGAGCGGAATTCCAGAGGAGAAGAAGGAGATCAAAGCTTCATCAATTGATCATCATTAATCAAGTTTTATCATGAACTCTTTTTATTTTTCATCATCTATTTATTCTGATTTTATGAATATGTTCGGCTAAATTTATTTATGTAGTTAGGATCATGGATCCGACGTGAATCCTATTTATGGTTTAAATTTGTTTCTTTAATAAATTATTTCAGTTATTTGTCTTTTACCTTGCATGAATTTCTATATCTTTGTATGAATTGATCACTCCTATAGGGATTTGAAGGTTAGGGCTCATAATAGACATATTGAGGTTTTAATCGTGACAGAGGTAAAATATCAATTCTTGCATGATCTAGACATAGGCTTGCTTGAGTTGTAGACTTCATAATTCATTGTATTTAATGCTTATTCTAAGAGGAATTACTAAGACATTAGGATTCTAATTAAAATAAAGGGTTAAAGTCACTAAGACATTAGGATTCAACCAACTATTTTTAGAAGATGAATTGTCTGAAATATCTGAGATGAATTATTATTGAATTAATTTAAACTACTCTAGGAGCATCTAAAGTGAAGTGTATCCTTGCTACAGTTTCTTACAGTTCTTTAATCGCATCTTTTCTTGCGTTCTTGAATATTCTTGAATGTTCTTGATATTTACTGTAATAAATTTTAATTACTTTTATTTTAATTCAAAATCTATTTTCCAAACCAATTCGAGTTTTCCAAATTAAGAGTACGAGTTATAATAATATTTGGTGCATTAATCCTCGAGGGACGATACTTTACTTTTACTTTTAATACTTGACACAATCGGTATACTTGCCGTAATCGCAACAACTTTTTGGCGTCGTTGCCGGGAATTAATTACGCCAATACTATTCATAACTTTCGATCTTTGAGATTGGAATTTATTTTTGTTTGAGTCTTTTGTTTTATGCGCGGTAGAGTAGATCTTGAATCTCTACAATTTGATCCGGAATTAGAGAAAACTGCGAAAAAGAACAAAAAACTCACCGAACAAAGAAAGTAAGAAGAATCCTCGAGTTCACAGCCCATAGCAGAACCCGAGATGGCTGGAAATAATCAGCCACATCATGAAGAGGAGTTGAAGTAGTCAATCGTAACTCCTAGTTTCACAAGGCCGAATTCGAGTATCGCAAGACCAGCGATCGCGGCTAACAACTTTGAAATCAAGCCAGCATTAGTCACATTGATTGAGCGATCTTAATTAGCAAGAGAGGACACAGAAGATCCTCATGAATTTCTTAACAGATTTCTGATGATATGTGACACTGTCAAGAAAAATAGAGTATCAGATGAAGTGTTGCGACTATGATTGTTCCCATTTGCTGTAACAGATGAAGCACTCAGATGGTTAGAGCAGCAACCAGCAAATAGCATCAGTACTTGGAAAGATCTAGCTGCAAATTTCTTAGCCCAATTCTTCCCAATGACGAAATACAATCGGCTAGTGAATGAAATCACTAATTTCATTTAATCTGATGGAGAAACTTTGTGTGTAGCCTGGAGACGATTCAAAGAGCTTATGAGAAAGTGTCCTCGGTACGAGTTGCAACCCGGACAAAAAGTTTGAATATTCTTCAACGGGATGACACCAGCTTCAAGGATAGTTGTCAATGGTGCAGTTGGAGGTTATATCAGGCAAAAGACACCCACACAAATTCTAGAATTGATCGAGCCTATGGCAAGGATGGAGAATGAGTGTATAGCAGCTCAGCCAAAGAGAGGAGTCCTCCAATTAGAAAATAATGATGCCAAGCTAGCTGAACAGAAACTCCTATCATAACAAATTGCTATTTTGAATAGCAAATTTGAAAAGCTTCAGTCATCTACAGCTCAAGTTAAATCAGTATCATGTGAATACTGTCAAGGAGGGCATGAGACTAATGAGTGTAATGTACTCACAGGAGAAGATCCAATTCAAGTTAATGGGATCTGGTATGATGAGAGAACTCAGCAGAATCCTCCAAGAAATCAGAACAATGCTGTGGGGAATACCTTTAACCCCAGGTGGAAGAATCAAAGAGGTCTCGATTACAAATCAAATCATTATTTATGGCCTCCACCAATTCCACAAAGTCAGCCATCTGAGTTAGAAAGAGCTTTGCTGCAGTTGACAAACACCACCGATGAATTCATGCAAGAGACCAAATCCACTTTCAGGAATCAAGAAGCATCTATAAGGAATCTGGAAATTCAAATTGGGCAGTTGTCAAGACAAGTACCTGAGAGAAGTCAAGGAACATTCCCCAGTGATACCATAATCAACCCAAAGGAGCACTGCAATGTCATCACTACTAAAAACGAGGATCTAAAAAAAGAGGAAGTTGAAGTTTCTATAAGCAAGGATGAACAAGCTCAAAAGGATAAAGAAAAAGCAAAGCAGCAACCTCCTGCAATTCAAAAGAATCAATGGGATTTCTCACGTTTTGAGAAACCTCCATATCCCATGAAGCTCAAGCAAGATGAACAAAAAAAACAATTGTCTAAATTTTAGATATTTTTAAGAAATTGCAAATTAAAATTCCTTTTGTAGAAACTTTGGAGCAATTGCCTTCATATGCCAAGTTCCTGAAGGAGACATTATCTAAGAAGCGAAAGCTCACAGAGGATGAACCAGTTACACTAACAAAGGAGTGCAGTGCAATCTTACAGAAAAACTTGCCTCCAAAGTTGAAGGATCCAGGAACCTTCAGTATTCTATGCACCATTGGCAAGACGACTATAGAGAAAGTCTTATGCGATCTTGGTGCTAGCATCAATGTGATGCCACTAACCTTGAAGGAGAAGCTAGGAATTAATGAAGTGAAGCCAACCAGGATGAATGTTCAATTGGCCGACTGCTCAACAAAGCAAGCACATGGCATTGTGAAAAATGTGCTTGTCAAGGTAGACAAATTTCTAATTCCTGTTGATTTTGTTATCCTTGACATTGATGAAGATGTCAGTATGCCTATGATCTTCGGGAGGCCATTCTTAGCAACCTCAGGAGCGTTAACCGATGTACCTAAGGGTGAGTTGATAATGCGCGTGGATGGAGAGCGAACAACATTCAAGGTACTTACAAATGAACCTCCATTTCCTGCATCTCAACCTAAAGATCAAGTTAATTACATTGCGGAGAAAAAGGTTGAGGAAGGAAACAAGAAGGAAGTCCATCAGCAGCATGAAGAACGCAAGCCAAAGGTTAAGATGGAAAAGTCCAAGAGTAAGGAAAAACATGTGAAGTCTAAGTTTAAAATTACTGAGAACCTCCTCTGCTTAGGTCCAGTATCCTCTATTGTAACATTCGCCCCTCCTACAGTAGGAACCTTGTCCTCAAGGTTCACTTTTGGCAAAGGAAAGTCTGGATAGTGTGCTACAAGGTCATCCTCGAATTCCCAAGTGGCATCTTCAGGAAGGGAGTGTGACCACTGTATCAACCACTGCTTACAAGCCCCAGTTGTACTCTGCACATCCCTTGACATTAAAGCTGATATAGGAAGTTGAATTGGCCAATTATCATTACTAACCTCTGGCAGAGGCAAGGCTACCACAGAGCTATCTCCACGAAATTGTTTCAGTGAGGAAATGTGGAAAGAGGAATGAATACGGCAACCATCTGGGAGCCCAATTTTGTATGCTACTGGACTTAGAACTCTGACTATTGGAAAAGGCCCAAAGTACCGCTTGTAAATTTTCTGGTTCTTGCGATATGCCACTGAAATTTGCCTATAAGGCTGTAACCTTACCAACACTAGATCCCCAACAGAAAATGACTCATCCTTCCTATGTTTGTCAGCATTACTCTTCATTCTGTTTTGAGCACTTTGCAATTGCATCTTTAATCGCCTCAACAGTTCATCACGGTGGGTTAAGGTAGCGTCCATTGCTTCTACTCTCACTGAGCCTTTTGGATAAGGAGGTATCATAGATGGAATTTTGCCATAAAGAGCTTGGAATGGACTCATTCCAATAGATGAATGAGTGCCAATGTTATAGTGGTACTCTGCCCATCCTAAAAAAATGCCCACTTGTGATTCTCATCATGACAAAACGCCCTTAGATATTGTTCCAAGTAACGGTTAGTGACCTCAGTCTGCCCATCTGATTGGGGATGGTAGGATGTGCTTGTTCTCAAGGCTATCCCACTATACTTGAAGAGTTGTGACCAAAATTGGCTCAAAAAAATTGAGTCACAATCTGAAACTATGGTCCTAAGTAATCCATGCAGCTTAACCACCATCTCACAAAATAAAAAGGCCACTTTTGCAACTGTGTATGGATGAACTAAAGCCCCAAAATGTGCATATTTCGTCAACCGATCTACTACCACCAAAATGACATTGAACCTTTTAGAATTTGGCAGTCCCGTAATGAAATCCATGCTCAAATCCTCAAAAAACCCCTCTGGTATAGGTAAGGGCTGCAGTAACCCCAATGGAGGAGTAGTGGCAGTTTTAACTAGCTGGCAAGTGGAGCATTGCTTGACAAACTCTACTACATCTTTTCTCATACCAAACCAATAAAAAGAAGCAGAAAGCCTGAGTAAAGTTCGAGTGATTCCTGCATGCCCACCCATAGGTGTAGAATGTGCCTCCCGCATCACAATATGCCTCAATTCAGAGTTGGATCCCAATAAAAAACGATTTTTATGGTAAAGGATACCTTCTCTATCAGAGATGTCAGCATGTGCCAACTCATTATTTTGCAACTTTAACCGTATGTCAATCAACTCAGAATCAAAGAGGTTATCACCCCTAATTTGATCAACTAAATGAAAAGTAGCTTCAGAGATTAGAGACAAAACCATACCTGTGTGTTCTCCTTCAAAGCTTTGGGACAAGGAATCTGCCACAATATTGGCTGATCCAGGCTTGTACTCAATTGTGAAATTGTATCCCATCAATTTACATGCGTATTTTTGTTGCTCCATAGTCTGAACTGTTTGTGTCAACAACTCCTTCAAGCTGCGATGATCTGTGCGGATTATGAACTTAGATCCCAACAGATAATGACGCCATTTCTTCACCGCTTCTGTCACTGCAAATAACTCTCTGACATATGTTGAAGCTGTGCGCATTCTTGGACCAAGTTTCTTGCTGAAGAAAATAATTGGGCGATTATGTTGCTGGAGGACAGCTCTTATTCCCAAGGATGATGCATCTGTGTCCACTACAAATGGGGCTGCAAAATCAGGCAGAATTAAAACTGGGTTCTGAGACATGGCTGTCTTTAATTCTTCAAATGATTTTGCAGCTACTTCACTCCACTGGAACGAATCTCCTTTCAGCATATCAGTCAAGGGAGAAGCTATAGTAGCATATTGTTTAATGAATCGCCTTTAATAGCCTGTGAGCCCAATAAATGCTCTCAATTGCTTCACATTCCTTAGTTGTGGCCACTGTAGCATAGCTTCAATTTTCCTTGGGTTAGCCTTAACCCCCTGGCCAGAAACCAAGTGACTAAGGTAATCAATTTCGGTTAAAGCAAATCCACACTTGCTAAGTTTAACCTTGAATTGATTCTGCTGCAAACAGCCCAAAGCTACCGAAAGGTGCTCATAGTGCTCTTCCACAGATCCACTGTATATCAGAATATCGTCGAAGAATACCGTACTAAATTTCCTTAGAAAAGGCTTAAACATTTGGTTCATAGCTGCTTCGAAGGTGGAAGGGGCACTGGTCAACCCAAACGGCATGACCAAGAACTCATAGTGCCCTTCGTGAGTTCGAAAAGCTATTTTATGACGCAATAGGATTTGATGATACCCACTGCGCAAGTCCAGCTTGGAAAAGACACTTGCTTCATTTAACTCATCTAAGAGCTCATCAATTGTTGGGATTGGAAAACGATACCTGATTGTAATGCTATTCAATGCTCGGTAATCAATACACATTTCCCAAGAATCATCTTGTTTTTCACCAGTAAAACAGGTGATGAGAAAGGACTCCTACTCTCCTTGATTAAACCTGAGGCCAATAAATCTGATACTTGCTTCTCGATTTCCCCTTTTTGGTGATGAGCATACCTGTATGGTCTCACACTGACAGGTTTAGTTCCCTCAATTAAATGGATAGCATGATCACATCCCCTAGTAGGTGGCAGCCCTTGTGGTAACTGAAAAACAGGCTGAAAACGTATCAAAATTTCCCAAATAGCAGCAGGCACCTTCTGTCTCAGATCCAAGAGATCAGGCATTACATCCGATACACCATTTCCTTGCATATACCAACAATACTGGTCAGATGCTGTCTTTTCCTTGCAAAACCTTCTTCCCTGTAAGCTCACTCTACCTTCCTTGGTCATAAACTCTATAGTTAACTCTCCATAATCATGTATAACTCGGCCCAACCCACTCAGCCAAGAAATACCCAATATCACACCTAAGTTGGATAATTCAATTACCAAAAGATCAACAACAAAGGCATATCCTTGAATTTCTAAGGGGACAGCTAAACATTTTCTATCACATATCAAAAACTCCCCATTCCCTAAAAACACACGCATCTTAGGGACCTTCACCGTTGGCAGCCCAATACTGTCCACCAATTGCTTCTGTACGAAATTGTGGGAACTTCCCGAATCCACAAGGATAGTCACTAACCTGTTTCTGAAATTAACAGAGAACTGAAGTGCTCTAGGATTGCTTTCACCTTCCAAAGAATGCAATGCAGCTTCATGGGAGTCTTCACGTGCTTCTTCTGCCTTCCAAAAAATCTGCTCTTCTGCATCAGACACTAACTCTTCAGGACCATCCCCAATCATAAGTAAGAGTTTGCCCTTGCAGCGATGACGTGATGTCCATTTTTCATCACAAGTATAGCAAAGCCCCAAATCCCTCTTCCTTTGTAAATCCTCATGAAAGAATCGTCAAGCAGGTGCTGTTGAAGGTAATGCTGGGACTAGAGTTTTCTGAATGGGTACAATTGTATTGATGGGTTGTGGTTGCTCTACAGAATAAGAGCTCTTCGAGAAATTGTTCTTGGCACTACTTGATGAGAAAGATGAGCGCAATTCCACAAAGTGAGCATCATAGGTAATCGCTAATTGCATGGCCTGGTGGAGGGATGTGGGCGAATGCAACTGGATAGCTCATCGTAAATCAGGAAGCAAACCTGATACAAAAAAACACATGAGAACCTCATCAGAAAACTCTGTGACTTGATTTATCAAGGCTTCAAAAATTCTGATATAGTCATTGAGTTGACCCTCCTGTGTTAACTTCGATAATACTCCCCGTAAATCTTGGTATGTCGTTCCCCCAAATCGCTGCCTAACCGCCAACTTCAATTCCTCCCAAGAATTAATGGAACCACCATTAAACAGCCACTGAAACCATGGTGCAGCTAAACCCTCCATTTTCATTCCAGCTATCGTACCTTAATAGCGTCAGGTACTTGTTGTAAGCCAAAGTATAGTTCCGTGCGAAAAATCCAACTATTAGGGTTTGTACCGTTGAATACAGGAAGCTCCATCCGAATTGATTTCATTAACATCCTCGAATCATTTGGATCCATTCGAGGTTGATGCGCTCCTAACAAATAAGAGGAGAACGAAGAATGCGCACCACGTGTTTGAACCGGTTCACCTTAGCGAGCCTTAACACCAACAACTGCTGCATGTATCTGCTGGAGTTGCATATTGAAATTGACGAACTGGCTTTTCAGTAAATCGCTGCTCAAACTTAGCTTGCATTTCCTCTAAACCCCGATTAATGCGAAGCTGAAATGCTCCAAATTCTTTAGCTAACTCTTGAACACACATGGTGAATTACTTGTTGAGTCCGAAATTGATGAAAGCACCAATGATAAGGGACGCGAACCCTATTTGGAACCTCAATTTGGGAAAGAACAAGAACAGAGAGAAAAAGAACGAGAAAAACAAGAATCTGATATCAATTATATGTTCTGAATGAATATCCTCTTTACATCGCTTTACATTTATTACCCTGACCCATTGCTAACACTCAACAATTCCCCATTAAGCCACATTAAGCCACGTAAGTCAACATAGCCTATCAATAGCAACA